ACCTAAAGATCTGCATATGTGTGTAGAGTGGCAAAGTCCAGCAGGAAAATGAAGGCAAAAACTGATTCAAAGCAAAGCCTCGATTCCATTTTAATCAAGGCATTGTAATTAATTACCAAGTGTGTTCTTTCAATTCACTAAGTTTAGAATGGCCTAAAACTGATTAAGACTTAAGAATTACGTGTTGGACATTTCATGTAACATATAGTTTGACTTACTTACTATTCATTTCCTGACTGCCAGTCTGATTTCCTAACCCAGTCACGAAACCTTCCTTTAAACACAGGTGCACACAGACACAAACACAGGTCTTCCTTTGCATACCAAAGCCAAATTTAAGAACTCAGAAACAAGCCAGGTTTGGGGCTGCATGCCCATAATCCCAGCACTCCAGGAGGCTGAGGCAGGAGAATTAAAAGTCTAAGCCCAGCCTGTGCAACTTAGTGAATTAGTGAGACCCTTTCTCAAAATAGAAAAATAAGGGGTTGGGGTTGTAGCTCTGTAAAGGCTCTGGGTTCAGTCCCAGTTTGGGGGGTTCAGAACACCTTTTAAGAAAATTATTTTTGTTTCAAGTTTTTCACTTTTTATGAAACATTGCATTAAGTCCAATGAGGCATTTGGACAAGTGGAAAAAAGAAACCTGAGAAAAGTCCAAAGAAGAAATTGGACTTCAGTTCCCTCTCTTAAGGGCATTTGCATTTTCTTGAGTATGATGAATTCATAAGGTAAAGTTTTCATCAAAGAAACAAAAAATGACTTGTAATTCAGAGATTCATGCAGTATTCAGGATTAAAAAAAAGAAGTTTGAGTGTCCCCTAATCCAAAATGTTTATGCTTTTTGCTTTTGGAATCTTAGTCCTCGGGAAGCTTCTGGTAAATTCACGGTATGGAAAGAGCGCAGAAGTTCAGGAGAAGCATTATAAATAGGTCTAGTGCAGCCTAGGTCAGAGGGCTTCTCACACCTCACGCACGACACTGTGCTACCAGGAGTATTGAGGTTACCCTTGCTTTTTACCTGTATCCTTTTGGAGATGCATTTGGGAGTTTTTATGCTCTTTCTTTTACAGTGTATTTTGGGAAAAGCTTCTTTAAAACTCATCTATTTTAGCCATTGAAAGCAAATAATTGTACTTTCTCCTATGCATAAATTATTCTATTTGATCTGAACCCACACTTTAATTACTATATACATATATAGTTTGTATTCTTGAAAATGGCCTGCTCAGGGCTAAATTTTGGAACATTATGTTAATCCTACCTTATATTTACAAACTCACTTTCTGTCTCCATCCATTAGTTTCGTTTTCCTCTTTCCTGCAAGAGAACTTTGCCTTCGTACATCAGAGCATCTGCCTCAGAAAAAGGTAGAACAACTTCTGTCTGTTTACATTCTTATAAATTATGAGGCGCTCACATTCAGTCTGGATTTTTGTTAAGGATTATTCTTTTCTGAAGATTAATGTTGAGAATACTAAATTTATACAGAGGAAAAAATTACTTGGAGACTCCGAATTGGATGTCTCACAGGTTCTTTTTCCCACATGTTCTCTCTCTAGCCTTGAGGGGCTTCTCTCTATTCCGTGATTTTCAGTAGGTAAGACTTCGTCTCTCTCTTTCATCATTTCATTTTCCCTTCTTTTCACCTCTTAAAAGTTTTGGTGACCTAAATAAACTTGTAATATCCCTCAGATTGCTATTAACCCTAGGTCTTTGTATCTCGAGAGGACAGTGTTTTATGACAGTTAATGGTTTGGATTGGCTGATCAGAGTCCCACAGTAGCAGTTCTTTGTTAAAGTCAAGCTCTGCCTTTGTTCATTTTGTGGAAGCAGAACTCCAACCTCTTAGAGGACAGGATCAGCAGTCTCTGAAGCATCCATCTCTCTTCTTTCTCTCTGTCTTGCATTCCTTCTCTCCAGCTCAACAATGCGACTTGAGTCTGCTAGAAAGTCCCCAAGCCCACTGTCCCGCAAATGAACCAGCAGGCTTTCCACAGCCCACTCTTCTGTCCTGCATCAAGTGTTTTGCATATGGCATTTGGGAGGATTATTAAACAAAAATGAAATAGATTAAGAAATGAACATAAAAGAATCAATTCTCTTGAACTGTGGTTGCATAATGGAAATCGACTGCCATGAATGAACTCGTGTACTGAAGTTATGAACAGCAGAGCTAATGCACTGCCATGAGTTCATCTTTATTATTGCATTACACCTGAATCAATTGATAAAGTAGCTTTTTTTTAAAATGAGGGATGGCACTTAATTGAATAAAAGTCAGTGTAATTATATTAGCAGAGGCCAACAGTACTGCTGACAGCGGAAAAGGGACACTGTTGAGCAGAGTGCCAGAGCTGGTCTGTGCATTTCTGCACATCGTTTGGTTGACAGATATTGAGGGCTGGTACATCATCTAATTAGATTACAAATTTCTACTGCTCTAAGTGAGAAATGAAGAAAAAAGTCTCTTCCTGGTAACATATCAGTGGAGATGTGTAATTTCACAAGTTGTTTTAGGGGAGAAGTGTCCATCTGGGTGAGCAGTGTGTCCTTTTGTCGATGTTAATTTATTCTTCATTTCGTGTGTCTTGGTGTGACTACTGCGTGTGTGAGCCTAGGAAGGGGTAACTGCAGATGAGTGAGAGACAGCTCAGTGTTCTAGATTACAGTCATCGCAGAATGTGTGTTTGCAAAATTAAGGCAGGGGTGTTAGTGATAAATTGAGGGATCGGGTTTTGTGAGCTGCTGAAGCCCACAGATTGCTTTATCAATAGAGTAATGGTTCATAAATAGCGTGACTTTCCGCATTCTCCTTATACCCTAGTGACAGTGCTGCTGTAGCCACATGTCATGGCAGACCCCACAGTAAGCCTTTCCTGGATTCTCCTTAGCGCTTGCATTTGAAGCCATCTGACAGCAAGAGCTCAGGGCATGACAGTCTGCAGGGACCGTGGGGACAGCTTCTGTTTGTCATTCACATACCCTCACCCTGCATGTGTCTGCTTGGAGTTTGTTTATGAATGATGATACTGTGAATTGGGTTTATCATAATTTGATTTATGATTTTTGGATTTGCACCTGATCTGAAAATCATCAAGACAGCATATGAGATGATCACGTATGACAGAAAATTATTTTGTGATCAAAACATTTTAAATCCCTATTTTATTGTTTGTTTTTCTAAATCAGATGTCTAGAATGTGAATTTGTTTTCTCTCTCTCTCTCTCTTTCTCTTTCTCTCTCTCTGTCTCTCATTCTTGCTTTCTTTTGTGATCGATTTAGCAAAAGATTAGAAAGCTGATCTTATTATCACAAGGTAAGCTCAGCCTTCCCAAGGGCAGTGTGCAGAGGCTGTGCCCTCAGCCCTCAAACCCAGAGTGCTATATATTGTCTTGTGTAGAAAGGCGGAGAATGCTTTCCCGCCTTTCTTGTCTCTGCGGCACATACCTCTCAGCCACCTGTAGGAAACAGTAGCCATGATTGTCATCAAACAGAACGGCTAGTTTCGGTGTTCTGTACTTTTTAATTATAAATGTCTGTTGGACTTTATACTGACCATTCAGGTCATTTATATTATCACAATTGCTCTTCTAAGATGTGGAGCTTCTGCCTATATTGAGAAGCTTAATTTACCCATTTATCAGCTTATCTGGGGAAGGGTAGCATTCAATTTAGGTCTTTGTAGAATATCTGAGCCTTGGCAGTTGGAGAGAGGTATATGCCCAAGAGAACTTTAAAACTAAATGGGGGATGTAAATACAAAGACACTGTTTTCAGATAAATAATAACGTATCAGGCTTTGTAAATCATGATGTTCCTATGGGTGTCCTGGGACAGATCTTGTCTGTTTTATTTTATTTGTTTGTTTGTTTGTTGTTTTAACACAAGCAAAACATTCAGAGGACAGAGTAAAAGTTTTGCTTGTATAAGAAGTATAGTTGCAGGGCCAGGGATTTAACCCTTGCCGTCTGCCTCGAAAGCGCAAGGACCTGAGTTCGATCCCTGGTACCAAAAAAAAAAAAAAAAAAAAAAAAAAAGGTTCCAGTTGTTAAAACAGAGGGACCACATGTTTTTGTTCTTGTTTTTTTTTTTTTTTTTTTTTTTTTTAAAAAAAAAAAAAAAAAAAAAAAAAAAAAAAAAAAAAAGGATAGGTTCCAGTTGTTAAAACAGAGGGACCACATGTTATTGTGCTTGATTTTTTTTTTTTTGTACTTACTGTGTCTTAATTTTGTCCTTTTGGGTTTTTTTCTGTTGTTTAGTATAATTTTTTTAAAGGGTAGGTGGGTTGTGTTTTAAAACATAATTTTTATACTTTTGTCTTAAAGAATTTTAAAGTAGAATTATTTGATAAAATCATCTGAACATTAAAACATAGCAACTTCTGAAAAGTAAATATATTTTGCTGTTAGTTTTAACTGAGATCTCAGATCCTTCTGAGAAATGGACTTACGTTGTTTAAGAGTCTTTTAACTATATTGAATTACTAACAAGGCAAAAATTTTCTTGAAACTTGGAACATAACAGAGTGGGAGTGGAGATTTCATTATTTTTTAATAAAATCTAGATTAGCTAGACCATTTTCTTTTTTAAAAGTAGATGTTTTTACACCTCAATACAGTGTTTGCTGAAGAAGGGTTGTTTTGATATAAATTTAGACTTTTCTCTTCGGACAAGCAGAAAGTTTCTGCTCTTTTTATTCTATCTCCTGTACATGCATTCTAAAATTCTTCTGTGAAGCCCTTGGAGGCTGCTGCTGCTGGTGCATAGCAGCAATAACAGGAAAATCGGGAAGAGGGTGCATGGGTGTGCACTGTCCTGGCCCCGCAGGTCGTGCCCCTCCCACCACCGTCTCTTACTGGGTAGCGCAGTGCTTGCTTGTAGTGGTGTAGAATGAACGTGCTTCTGCGATGCTGCTGGGAAAGCCGAATCCATTTTAAAATGCTGTCCATTCTCTCCCCTCCCTGCTCCCTGCCACCTCCCCCCTTCCCTCTTGTTTTCCTAGACACAGTGCCAACATAAATCTGCACCGTAAACTGTTGACCAAAGAACTCGATGACATGGGCCTGGACTCATCGCAGCCCTCCCTTAGCAAGGACCTCCGGGATGAATTTTTGGTGAAGATCTATGGTGCCCAGCACCCCCTGGGGCTCGATGTCAGGGAAGATGCCTCCTCTCCCGCGGGGACGGAAGACTCGCACCTGAATGGGTTCGGGAGAGGCATGACGGAGGACTACATGGTCCTTGACTTGAGCACCACCTCCAGCCTCCAGTCCAGCAGCAGCGTCCATTCTTCCAGGGAGTCCGATGCCGGCAGCGATGAGGGGATTCTCCTCGATGACATTGACGGGGCGAGTGACAGTGGAGAGTCGGCACACAAGGCTGAGGCCCCTGCCCTCCCGGGTGGCCTGGGAGCTGAAGTGGCAGGACCGCTCATGTTCAGCAGCTTGTCTGGGAGCAATGGTGGGATCGTGTGCAACATCTGCCACAAAATGTACAGCAACAAGGGGACCCTGAGGGTGCACTACAAAACCGTGCATCTGCGGGAAATGCACAAGTGCAAAGTCCCCGGTTGCAATATGATGTTTTCCTCTGTGCGAAGCCGAAATCGGCACAGTCAGAACCCTAATCTCCACAAAAACATTCCCTTCACGTCAATAGATTAGTCCCAGAACGGACACTCCAAATGCCAGCTCTCACCAGACGGCCTACGTGTTTGAACTGCCATTGTCAGTGTGTGCGTACGTGTGTCGGCAGGGTGTGTAGTGTGTACATACGTACGCCTTTGTGTCTACACATGTACACACGTATTTTCTTTAGGTAAAAAAAGAAACACTAGGTGCTTTTGAATTTCTTCTTTTTCCTTTATAGTTTGGGAAAGGGGTGGAATCTTTAATTTGGGGGTGAAAACAGTACCCCTTTAAACACACACATGTAAAGCCTGCATCTAGCCCCAATTTGATAGAACAATTCGTGGTCTTCTCCAAGGAGACAATGTGTTGTACCCATGACTGTTGCCTGCAAAAAATAAAAGGGAGAAAAGAAAAAAGAAACAAAGAGGAACTTCTTACAGTTGTCTTTTGTGATCCTTAAGGTTTTGAGAGAATCTTCAATTAAAGCATGACAGATTCACCTGTAAATATTTAGCCTTGAGAGGCCAATGATGTAAAACAGTTGTATTGATGGTTGTTTAACTCTTTTGTTTAATTTTTGCAGTTACATCCAGCTGTTAGATATACAGGAAAAAATAGTTTGCTGGCTAGCTCTATTCATTTATGTTAGCATTAATGCACATTTTTTAAAAAAAAAACATGGTCTTGTTTTTACTACCTGTTAGATATAGTGATAAAGAGGTGCTGGCATGCTTTACAGCACAGATCTGATTTTTAAAAGTGTCCTGTACTAGTACATAAATCCAGTCATGCACTTTTTTTCATACACTACAAGGGGATGTGTAATATCCATGCTTCTTTTTTATCCTTAAACTATTGCCATACTTCAGTAAGTGTCTTTTTTTTAAAAATCCACTTGTATAAAAATGGTCTGGTCAGTATAGGGCATGAATGCCAAACAAAAGTATTAGTGTTAACACAAAACTGCCAACTTTGCACAAGTTTCCAGAAAAGAAAATACAATTAGTCACTCAACATAACCACAGGCCAATTTGCCGGCCACCAGAAAACCGCTTTTAAAAAAAAAACGGTGATTCTTTCAAGTGCCGAATGTTATTAGAATCAACACTGCATCCTTCTTGCTTATATGTTAAGTTACATAAAAGGAAAACAAAATTATGTGGTGTGAAACAGCCCAGGCGTTTCTCCTTTAGAGGCAGGATAATATTTCAGGATACGAAAGCCCAGATTATTCACTATGGAACAAAGCTGAATACAGTCACAGAGTTGAACACTCGTTTCCAAGGCCTGAACCGTTAAAAAGAGAGCAAAAGTCTGAATCGGGTGGGTGTGTTGTGTGGCTGTCTCGTTTGTCACCAGTTCCGCAGCAGCGCTGAATCAGTTCTGTTTACAGACAAAATCAAAAGCCGTTCACAGCCGCGGGGCTTGGAGTGCTGGACGCACACTCGACCTGAATTAAGCAGTGCTCCTTCAGGAGGCAGAGGAAGGAGGCAGCAGATAGGGTCTCACTGTCGTGTGTTGTGTTCCCCACATGAATTTGTCGGAGAGAAATGAAAGTGAGCCTGAAACCAAGCAATTGAGAGTGAGAGAGAGGGGAGACTGCTCCAAACCTGTCTTGTTTTGTTGCATTTTGTTTTGTTTCCGATGTTTACACATTGCCTGAGCTGGTTAACCACATCGGCAGCCTCAGCCACCACAACACACTGACTAAATGATGATATTTACTCAACTCCAGTCTGCAGCCAGAACCAGGACGGGGCATTGCAGGCTGTTTTGTTGTCTTTTTCTTTTTTCTTGTAAGTGGAGGGAGGGGAAAGGTAAACAAGGACTATTTTATCAAACAGTACGCAGTATAAAGAGAATGTATTTGTTTTCTGCATTTAATGGCCTCAGACATTTCGCCCATGAGTCTAAAAGTTAGAAATATCCCTTTGTTTTTAGACTTGTGTCATTTCCATTTTCCATGTTTTGTGATTATTTTTTCTGTGTTCATATCAGCATTCAATTCCGTTAAATTTGCCAAAGGAAACTGTTAATATGTTTCTGTTGTTATTCCTGTAGAATTTATTGTACCTCACAGTATTTATTGTTTCCAAAATTAAGCATCATTTGTTGGGGATTCAGTGTTTTTTATTTGTGAAAATTCCAGAAACAATAGATTCTTAAAAGATAAGCATATATATATATAGATAGATATATATATGAGCTTCATCTTCTCGCCTCCTTCAGAGGATGCGATGGGGTTCTATGGAGGTTCCTTGGGTCTTCATTTGTTCTACAGTGAGGAAAGAGCAAAACTTTGCATCACAAAAGAAACTATCAAACGCTATGTCTGTTCGGTGACAAATGTTTACGGTAAAAAGCTGAGGAATTAGTAATAACCATTTTGTTTTCTTGTACCTTTGAACTCCCCAAAGTCTTAATTGCTTCATTTTGGTATTGTGTTAAATTGAATAGACAGAGATGTTTTCCTTTGTTTTATACCATTTAAGACTCTGTACAGTATGTTTGTGAAAGACTGAACTAGATTAATGAACATTTGTTTGCAAACATCTTGGTCCTCTTAGCGTTCTCTGTATTGCGCTGTTGCTCTGTTAGCAATGATTAGATTCCAGAAGGGTGGAAAACACTTTCAGTATCCCAACAAGAGGTTATGGAGACTTTGCATTTCCGAGAGCATTGACTATATTGTATCTAATATTAAGAAAGTTAATACACATTTTTAATTTCAGCAACTTTTACAATATGAGCTCTTGGTTGAGAGTAGCGCTCATCTGTGCAGAACCACTGTTTAGCCTGTTTCATTCCATGTCAGGTAACGGTCAGATAGCTCCCCCGGGGGGGGTTCCAGCCCTGTTGGGCATTCATATCAGCCAGTGTGCCAAGTTTAGGGTCAGCATTGTTCTTCCCAGTTAGGAAAAAGCAGAAGTAATAAGGTTCTAAAAGCAGAGTTTCCCTTGGTTGCAGTCCTGAACGCGTTCTCCTGTTTCTCTGGTCAGAATTGGCAGCAAGCCCTGGGCAGCTGGCACTCTGCAGTCCTCTCTCATGTTTACTGCTCCTGTGCCTGGAGTGCACAGTTGTTAGGGTGGCTTCTCGACACCCAGGATTCCCAGGGCAAAGCCGGTCTATTTAAAAGGGGTGGGGTGAGTGGAAGGACGTGTAGTGCGCACGCGTGAAGTCTTGGAATGTTCCGCCCCCTGGACTCCGGGTGTTCCGCTTCTTGGCGCCTGCACAGTGCTTTGCCCTGACTGCAGTTCTCAAGATGGCGGTCCCCTGGCTAACGTGCAGACAGGAAGGATAAAGGGATCTGTGTTAAATCCCTGAGCTCTTCATCTCTGCCCATTCCTTCTCATTTATTTTTTCATGGGCACTTCCTGTCCTGAAACAGTTTCTCTCTGGCTGCATTCATTTTATGCTGACTGAAGATTAATAAGGATGTAGATTTTCACCCAAGTGATATTTTTTCTGTTTGACCATAGCCACGGTTTATCACAGGTACAAAATTAGGCAGTATTATTGTTCATGTTCTCTAACTGATGCTGAAATTTACTGTGTTCGTCCTTTTAAAGTATGTTTTTGTAAATATCAGGCTTAGTCCACTTTTGGGGGGCATCTGCATGCAGTGGAGGGGAATACAGAGGGAGAAAAAGAGGATAAGTACTTCGGTTCTATAAATGTGATCAAAAGTTTGACCCTCTTAGTTTTTCTAGTAATTGTATTTAAATAAATTAAGCCAATGTAACTCAATACAGGTCCTAGCTGCAGCTGTAAGGTTTAAGGGTGTGAAATGTTTCCCTTCTCACCATGACAGAGAGTTTTTGAAAAACATTCTTAGCATAGCGGTTTCGCCATCTTAGTAGTGGATTTCTTTGGTTGTACTCTCCGGGACCTTCCAGTGAGGGGGAAGGCATTTAGCTGGTTAGCATCCCCACTCATGGAGACAGTGCTCTTTTAAAACGCTCTGTCTCAAGAATGGACGGGTCCAGCGGCAGTCTCAGGATATGTACCGGATTCGCATCCCACACAGCCCAGACGCATGCCAAGGAAAGGAGCACGGGCCTTTCAGGTTGACCCTGACAGGCTGCTTTCTGCCTCCGCTGCATGGCCCGAGCAGCCCTAAGGTGCATCTGGTTTGCTAGCTCTGGGTTAGGCCGACCAGCGGTGAACAGTTGGGAGACAAGCTGCATCTGCTGCTGTAAAGACAGCCAGGAGAAACACCGTCCTATGGAAGCACCCTTTTAGGCATCTCTTTAAAATTAATGCCAAACAAATTTTATTTATGAAAAAGCACCTTGCGCAACATAGGTATTTAAACTAGAGAGACTGCTTTTCCCTCTCACTCTTTGTTTTTCTTAACTGGCAGGATCTAAAGGGAACTAGGCAGAGGCAGAGAGACCCGAGAGGTCACTCTTTCCATCAGAAGAGTGAGTGACACTCAGCCAAGAGAGGATTCTAGCTCGGGTTTGGGTAGCTGTGAATGCACTGGAAGTTTGTCCAGAGTCTGGTACAGCTCTTCCCAGCCCTGGTGACCACATATGGAAGCTGGGCCTGCAGAGCATTTGCCCGGGAAGGGCTGAGAAGAGACAGGCAGCTGCCCGGAGCAGTAGGAGTTCTGAGGGGCCAGGAGACAGCAGGGGCAGTTTGGAGATTTGGGGGTTTGCTCTTCTATTGCTTTGGAGTAGAAAGTGATGCTGAGAGTCTGTCTGGGAGCAAAAAGGTACAAAGAGTAACCCAAGTTACAGAAAAGCTCAGTGAGGAAACGATTCTCATCGTGACCCAAATGGGAGCGCTGGTGCGGGAGACACCAGTGTGGGTCAGAGCCGTGGTAGAGACTGCTGGGCTGGCCAGCTCTTCGAAACGAGTCCATTCACCATCCCACACGGCGAAAATGTACCTTTCCATGTTCTTTCTCAGGTAAAAGCTGTCCTTGTTCATTTTGCTGTTAGGACCACACTTGATTGATTCCAAACTCACTTTCATATTTCCAGGCATTGTAGGGTTCCTCACCCTGATGCCAATTGTCAAGAAGGATTCTGAGAATCCAGCTGAACTGACAGCTGGATCACCTGTCACACACCCATCCGCCTGTGTCCTTTTTAACTAGATGTCAACCACTGTCTTGGGCATTTGAGAAATCCAAATGCCCAAGAACAGAGGGTTAAAAAAAAAAAAGCAATTTTATAAACACTCTGAATTAGATCAGCATTATTGTTCATTATAATGCTATATATATTTCAAAACAATACACTCTAGTTGTCATAAAACTATCTCTGTGCTTCTCTCAAGTGTTGTTGTGAATTCATTTGACCTTTATTGCAGGGAAGAGATCGTGTGTAGGGAATCAGGACAAGCTCCGTTCCTAACAAACAGTGGACCATTAAAAAAAAGGAAAGGCAAGCCTAGGGCCGAGCAGGAGCAGCTTGGGCTCAATTTCACCTCATATCTTTCTAATAACTTACTTGTCACTTTATTGCCTTCCATTAACGTGTGCTGCTGACAAGACTGTCACACTAACGGCAGACGACACCTCTCTGCCGTAGTCCCGGCTCTCTCGGCTACTTACTGCCCTGGCCCTGAAGGGACACAAACTAATAGTGTGCTTTCCAGTTCAGCACTTGGCCATCAAATATAAAAGGATGCGTAATTGCCTGTTTATCCCTTGTGAAGGGGAAATTGAGTACAAGGGCTGGGCTTTCCCACAGTGCTCCCTGACAGGCACACACATTCACAGCCAGCCTCCCTCTCCCCTCCCTCCCTTTGTCCTCCCTCCTCCTCCTCTTCCTCCCCGCCCCTCCATCTTCCCCGCTCAGGAGTCCATCTGCACACCTGCAGTACATTCGGGAAGCCCCAGGCTGCCACTAGGTGCCCTCTCCAGCTATTAAGCGAGCAGTAACGAGACCTCCTTACATAAAGGGTCAGTGGAGAGGTGCTCTCTGTGACAGCACTGCCAGTTATTTAGAAACTTAAGTACTGCAATTAATGCCCATCCATTTTGGGAGTACTGGGTGTGGCCCTGTAATTAGAGCAAATTTTTCTGCAAGTCAGTAGTGATGGTAGGCTTAGGCTGCTCCATATTCTGTAAAGAAAACATTAAAATATTTTTCTTTCCCTTCGAAAAGTGCATGTGTTATAAACTGATTCTTCGTGGTGGTGAAAGGTTTGGGGTTTTTTTAATCTTTGGCATCGAGCCGTTATTCTAAATGTGTGATCACCT